AATGTCCTCATTACAATGAAATAAGATTAAAACTTTACATTGTAGCTAATAAATGTATACCAAATTTTGACAAATTTAGTAATAAAAATAAATTGGTATCATTACTAAGTGACGAGAAAATGTCAATTCCTTTAGCGCAATATTTAAAAAACTGTTTTAATACAAGACAGCAGCACTACATAAACTAAGCCAGTAACACATTCCTTGTATACAAATTTCTATCTTTTTTTTAATGCTTTTTTGTTCCCTTACTTTTTATGTAGTTATTTTTCTTTTACTAATATCTGATTTGTAATCCCTTTCAACCCCTTCCGGGGGATGTTGTGTGTTAATTAATGAATGAATTATATTAGCATGGAGGTAGAAATTAAGGGATTCTTTTCTAGCTATATGGTATTAGTGACAATTTGTTCAGGTAGTTCGCTACCATTAAAACCTGCAAAAAATTTATCACAGTAAATCATTCAAAAATTATTCTGTGATGATTCGCATACATGAACGTCATTCATTTTTTTACAGAGAATAACTTGTACTGATATTCAGTATTTCCATGATGGTCATAGTTAGCCCTCATAACACTATGTATATTTTTTTAGCATAGGTCACCAAACAACATTTTGAGATATGATTTAATGTTTCTGCCATAGAAACCAATTGTAAACTATTTAAAAAACGCATTTTTGTTAAATTTTCGAGCTTGTTTTTTCGAAAATCTTACTTCGGGGACCATATATTTTTATTTCAAAATTTTGAACGTTACAGTAGCCCAACCACTCTTGCTGGATTTCTAGGATTTCTGAGTATTATTTTAATGGTAGCAAACTATCTTAAAAGGTTATAAAGAAAGTACAAGTTTTTTCCTATAAATATGTATCATATAGGCACCTGGACAGTGGAAATGATAAATAAACAACAAAACGAGACTCTGGCAGCGGCGACTGTGCACTAAAGTCTCCAGTACACAGTCATGTGAGGGCTGATAATTGTAGTAATTAGATCAATACTAATTACTTTAATATTTTTTCTACTTCTCCACACATGTTTTTTTTGTTAAGCATATCTGTGAAAAATACAAGAAAATAATAATAATTAATGTTAGATTTCCCTTCCTCAAGTGACTGGTCTAAATGAATAACCATTTTGTGACACCAATGTTGCATCATATTGTATCACTTTTTGTATTTGTGAGATATATACAAAGAAACATGTCCTATATTGCTTTATTGGTATTTTAGTTCATCAATAAAAAATTAAAGACATGCTTCATTGGCTTCACAACTGTAGAAATGTTGGTAATGTAGGATGAGTGAACAACCAGAAACAGGTCACTCAAGGATTTTTTTAACGTTTGTTTTCCAGATAACGACTTATAATGCATAGCTCCTTCCTATATTGCACCTTTCTGATGGTGTATAGTACTTTTTCAATAGTGACATGGTCAGTAGTAGCCTGACAAGGTTGTGTGAGTTGCACCCTCCGCGGTGCTCCAAACCCCAAACACGCCTGACAAAACGATGTAGTTTTTCATTTCCCATCGATAATTTTTTGCAGGGACGTCAGATAGTGACGGCCATCAAAGAGTAACCGTTCACGACAGAGTTTATTTCCATTGAAATCCTAGTGTTACTACCAGTATTAATAAATCTATAAAATATTTATTTACAATCCAGTATACAGGATGAGTTGAAGACTAAATTGATCACAGAGAACACAGAAGAATGGCAGAGTATGAAATGTTTCGAAGGACTCAAATATATTGGTGGTGTTGATCTATCATTCGTCAAGGGAGATGATGTCAATGCGTGCGCATGTTTGGTGGTTTGCTCATTCCCTGATCTGGAGGTATAACATTCAGCTTTCTTTATTTCTACTGTAAAATACTTTATTTTAGCTGAAATTAATTTTCACTGAAAAGACTTTTTTTGATGTTTTGCATGAAATTTATTTTCATTGATTTTCGATGAGTTGAATGTAAAATATAGCAAAACAAATATTTGCTGATTTTATTTTCATTGAATCATCTATTCAGCGAAAATAAATTCCAAGCAAAACTAAAGTATTTTACAGTATCACAAAATTGGCATGAAGACTTAAAGCATTTCTTACTTTTCATATAGAGGGCGCACTATCTCCAGTTGAAGACATTTGTGATTTACTTCCCTCAGAAGTAATTTTTATGGAAAACATCGTGAGAAACAATAACTTCGTGTTGATGTGTGGGTTTAGGGAGTTTTTGTGCCTGCTTTGAATCAGTTGAATCTCTAGCTAGCTATACTTGTGCGCCATCTATGGTGGAAATAAGAAATCTAGGAAATCTTCCCATCAGTCTTTCACAAAGCCCAGAAAAAATAAATGGAAGTGTTTTTATTTAATTTTAAAATTGTGTTTATATATTATTTTGAATTTTCATGAATTTCTTTTTTATTAAATATTAGCAAAAAGTACATGTAACCTCTACATTGTGATTACTAGAAATCTAAATATTTACCCTATGTCAAAGCATGGTTTGTTGTTGATAGATGCGTAGGTTAAATGTAGGTGGGCCTGGGTATGAGAAACTAAATGACCAATGCATGGATAGGGATAGAAACAAATTATTCTGTAAATCTCTATAATTTTGAAAAAACATAGATTTTTGCCAATTTTGTTGGACAGAGAAAAATGTGAAACTTTGTAGCATCATTAAGACAAGAAAATTGATAGCATAGTGAAAATATCTTGATTTCAGTACTTTCTATAGTCATTGTCTATTATTCTTTTCAACCCATCATCGCTTCCGGTTATTTACTCAATAAAATGGGTTGAAAAAAGTGCAACCGCAACCAGCTATGTGCATGAAAAAAGGGTCAGCCATATACATACACAGCATGGTTCACCTGGTGTTATTGACAAGGCCTGTCACTTGAAATAAAATACTTGTTAGTTGTTTTACAGTCTGAGTTGACGATGGACTGCTTCATTCCAGTAGTACAATTGTTTTAGTTTGAAAAACGAACAAATACACGTCAGGGTGTCCCATGAAGTATTTGAAAGGTCTAAGTGGGGCTTTGTACCTGACACTTTCAGATTAGCTCAGTCGATGTGTGCGATATTAAAAAAAAACATGATTTTTAACGCAATAGTTTTGCCATTTTGTTTCTTGCCTATCCACATCAAACTGACTTTTAAATACGCATATAGTGTGTGAAATATGGTGCTAGAACCCTGGTAGGATCATGGTAACTGGTTATTGGGATAAAATATCTTTATTTTACAAGGATCTGTGATTCAATTTATCCGAGTTGACTCGAATGCTAATTATTTACGTAATCGCTTTACAGAAATGTTTACCAAGTACATGTATGTACATGTAAATCGAATCGCTCATAGAACAAAGAAGAACAATAGTATTTGTCATCTTTCACAAAATAAAATTGCATATGATTTCGAATATTTCTCAAATAGAGTAGGTTTTGGCTGTGTAAATTTAAAAAGATTATTTATTGAATGTACTTTAAAGAGCACTCAAGTTCCCAAACTACGCATAGCGATGTTTTTGTATATCACTTATGGGTCACATGTACTCACAAAAATCACATTAGAACAAAGACCCTCTCCTGTGATGATACTCAAAATATGTTTTATATATTTTTTTTTTTATAATATACCATTATGTATTCATAATTTCAGGTCCTGTACACTGACTTTACAATGGTAGAGTTGACAGCTCCTTACATTCCAGGATTTCTGGCATTCCGTGAAGTGGATTTCTTAGTGGACTGTTTAAACAAACTGAAATTTACCAAACCTGAAATTGTTCCCCAGGTATCAGTATGAATATAAAGTTTTTAATCCGTGGAGCTCTGCCATATCGGAATATTAAAATGAACGATCACCAGTGTGAAACTGAGAATCTAATTCTACAATCAATGAATCTGATCTTGTTCTTGATTGATTGATTGATTGACATTGAATTTTTGTTTTTTAAACTCACAACATAATGTAACGAACAATATACGTTAAATGAAACCAGTGTTAGTTTCACTTTCATGATTCATTTGTTTAATATATTTGTTTAAAAATATTTATTAAAAATATTTATTTAAAATGAGATTCGAAGACCACAGAATAGTATTGCTGTGGTTTTTAAAAAAGTAAACACCTAATGTTCTTGTATTCACAGGTTATACTTGTGGATGGCAATGGTTTACTCCACCCAAGAGGTGTGTATGTATTTATTTCATCCTGTTAAAACCTTAGTACTAGTAGTACAAGCCAGTAAACTGATTGGCGATCCGCTCCGCTCAAAAACAAGCAATATGTTTTTGGCTGTTTTCATGGTGTGACATAAACGTGAAGCTAACGTCGGTTTATAACTAAATTGGCCCGCCAATTAGTGACGGTACGACCTACCTGTGAAGTATGAACAAAATCAGCCGAGTCAAAAAAAATCACAGAGAAGTTAAAAGCTGTTGCTGGTGAAACGTTACCCTAACTTTGGGGTCAAATTTCTTGGTAATGAAAAAAGATATCAAAAATTCAAATAGTAACTTTGTGCCCACACTCAAGCTGAGTAGAATGTGCTATGTCTGAAGTGTTTTATCCTAAATTTGTAGGAGGAGATACATTTGGCGCAAAGCTATTCAAAAATCAATTTTTTGGCTGTTTCTATGGCAACAATGGGCCCTAATAACTAGGGTGAAGGTGTGACCTACCTGCCAAGTTTGAAAGAAATCAGCCAAGCCAAAAAAATCACAGAAGAAATCATAACTGAAAACACTGGAAATTTACACACACAGACACACACACAAAACGACAAAAGTGATTATAATGGCAATCCTAGCGGAGCGGGACGCCAACAAAAGTGATTATAAGGGCAATCCTAGCATAGCGGATCGCATCGCCAATAATCCATGCATGAAAGTGCGCCCTCTATAACAAACCTTCGTTTTAATATTAACTACCGTTGGTGGTGCTATTTACTTCTCATTGAATTGTTTTCTTCAGAGTTTGGTACTGCTTGCCATCTGGGTGTTGTGACAGATATTCCATGCATCGGTGTTGCTAAAAAACTTTTTCAAGTGGATGGGTTGGAGAAAAATGAGGATCATCTTCAGAAGGCAAGTTTTGTGTTACTACATGTACAATTATATTTACTGTAAAAACATTAATTTTAACTGGTATTTTTATTTCACTGTTTTGATATTTGACCATATTTATCGTATTTTAAAGTCACGATTCCTATTTAACATGTTAACATGAATTTAATTTAGCCGATTGCATTTTATCTTAAAAAATTGAGAAATTAAAGCCAAGCGAATAATTTTTATTTCACTGTTATGTTATTTGACCATATTTATCGTATTTTAAAATCACAAATTTCTGTTTAAAAGGTTAACATGGATTTAATTTAGCCGATTGTATTTTATTTTCAAAAATTGAGAAATTAAAACCAAATGAATAATTAATGCCTTTACAGTACTTTTAAAACTCAAGTCAGAATTTATGCAAGTCAGAATATGTACCGGTACTAAACAGGAAATTTTAATGTTTTTCCCGAATTTTAATTTTGTTGTTCGTTTTATAGAGAAAATTTTTCAAATGAGTGGACTCATGAATATTTATCTTTATTAAGAAGTACTGTGATTTGCAGTAGTTCAGAACACCAGTAATCCACACAAATTTACTGGAATTTTCTCATATTTAGACAATCGGATATTTCTTATAATAATCCAAAAGCACCAATGAAGACATAGGAATGTTGCATCAGCAGTGAAAATTTCACAATGTGTCAGTTACTTTCAAAAATTGTGTCTTTGGATATGCTACATGTATCACATGACTGTAATCACAAGAATTTCTAGCAGTGAAATTAACCTTTTCACCACCAGTTCCCTCTTTTCATTACAAATTTACAAAATAGTCCTGTTTATAGTCTG